AAACCCGGGGTGTCAAACCAAGAACAGACCCCTGCCTCAAATCAGCCCCATACTTTCTTTCTCTCACCCACCGAAACACTTCAGGCACCTCCGGGTGGTAGGTTTCAAGTCGTCCCCTTCATAAACAAATTGGCATGGTACGTCACCTTGAACCCACGGCCATCCGCATTTGGTTGTCCATTTCTTCGGATCTACCAAAGGGGAAAACGAATGGCATGGGCGATGGACTGCACCTGAACTTAAATTTACTACGAACAGAGGAAGCAATGCTCTTCGAGCTTCTTTCCTCATCTCTTTCTTCGTCTCTTCACATTCAACATTAAAGCCATCATGATGCAGAGCTTCTTCCAACGAATTGGTCTGCACTTTGATCGCTTCTTCCAGGCAATCTACGCGTCTCAAGGTATTTGCCAATGCCTCTGAAAATTCAACTTCGCTCTTGAGCTTCAAGGCTTGTTCCGGAGTGTCTCCCCAGGCTTCTTCAATGTAGTCCCACGTAGCTTTGCTACTGTGTCTAGCATACCATTGAATGGTGGTAAAAGCGCAACCTCTTCTAGCCATATCCTTCACACCAGAACGTCGCATAAAATGCCCAGTGATGGTCTCCACCGCAATGCTGGACTCAGGACATGTCACGTTGGCCAATTTTACCATCCTCTGGGCCTCGCAGATCATTTCCTTCTTGTCAACGTAAAGCCCAGCGTCTGCTATTTGACCTATGAGAGGAATTGCACCTTCTGGCAACACACTCCGATCATGAACTCGCAGCCTTTGACATTGATTGTTCACTATTTCAACCAAAACATGAAACGGGCAACACACATCACCCGTAGTCTGACAATAACAACCAAAAGCCCGAGCAGCACCCCTCCCAGCAACATCTGTTTTGCTGACTGGCAGTCTCAGCGTTGCCACTTTCGAGCCCAGATCCAGCTGCACACACTTCGTGTCTAAGGTGAGCGAGGCCAATTCGACCTCCCGCAGCAGAAACTTAGTGCCCAGAATCCAGGTAAGAGCGCCCGCGTTGGGTGCCCCTTGTGCAGCTTCGTTTGGGTATGGATGCTTGCCAAACTTTGTGATGAGCATTGCCCAAACTTCTAATTTGACTTCTCCAGCTCGCTCAACTTGGCCGATAGCTCTTTGCGCCATCCGCTTTGCATCCTGCACGGCAATCTGCAGAGCCGCCGACCACGGATAGCCTGCTCTGGAATGTCTATCCTTGGCTTCATAGACGTAGCTCTTCACAGCACGATAGCCCGCACTGCGCAGGATGGCAGCATTTTCCCGAATCTTGGTGGTTGTCAGCGGGAGAGGTTCTTCGTGTTTTGCTTTGCTGATGTTCACCCAAGTGGTAAACAACGCATCCTTGGCTTGCGTGGACCCTGTTGCATAAACAAGTGCATCGTATGCAGTCATCGCTTCCTGCCGCATTTGCTCGTCACCAGCAATTTGTATCGCCAACTTGGACTGCCCGCGATTCTGCTTGCCTTGGGTCTGGTCAGGGAGCCACGGTGCGTCCAATCTGGCCTTGGTCAAAGTCTCTCCGCTATGCAAGGTCAGCCGCAATCCACTCCTATGAAATCCTGGTGGCACATCAGGGTCAGCTTCACCGACCTCTCCCGTCGACGTAGAAGTCAACTCTTCTCGTGCTCGTTCGTTCACCACGTTCTGTCCTCTAATTAAAGTTTGCAAAATTGTGCACGAATTATTTGACCTGTCAGGTGTTCTCGAACGTTCCCTGCGTGTCACGATACTCAAACCCAACTTACGCCTTGCCTCGGCCACTGCGGGGGGGCTCTTCCTTCTCTTTCACCGGATCAGCCGCCCATCCCCGCCTGGCTCCCCCCGGGCAAAACGGATTCTTTGTCCAGTGCTTGAGCATCTATGCACGCGGTATCCAGCAAGATAGGCATAACCTCACCCTGCAAAGATACCTATTGCCAGCCTGCACAACCAATGCACGCTAGCCTCGCACACCAACCAAGTGCACGGGCTATGAGTGCTCCCAACCAAGGAGCACCCTGGAGGAGGCCCCAACCAAGGGCCTCCTGCTACACACGGGGAGCCCCCACTAAAGGCCCTCCCCCTCCCTTTTCTTTGGTGTGCTATCTATCTAACACTCCAACCAAGAGACTAAAATTTATCGGACTAACTCTCCTATCCAACACTCCAACAAGGAGAACTAACCTATCAAACACTCCAACAAAGAGGAAGGACTCCAACAAAGAGAAAAAGAAATCCTTAAACGAATTTCATCCAAGAAGTTTTGGCACAGTGGTTCAAACACCCATCTGCTCCACCTGACTCCGTCGCCAAAACCCATCCCATGTCTGTTTTCTCACCAGGCATTTGGCTTGTTTGGCCAAGTCCGGTAAAAGTGCTGGGACCTTCTAGGTACATCCAAACGAAGGATGTTGTTGAGCTCCAACGGAATCGCCTCCGTGTGTGGACGACTCAATTTGTCGGGCAGTGTATTCAGCAAACCGGGCAAATGTTGTGCCACTATGGCATGAAGTCCCTGTGCCTCCATTTCCAACACCAGCTCCGCAGTCAACTGCGCCATCAGCGGGCTTGACGCACGATGATTCATTGCAGCATTTAGGGTTGCAGTGTTATCCCCTTTGAGGATCACTCTCGTTGCTCCCAGGTCTGCGATAATCTGTGCGCAGCTACGCAAGCCGACAACGACTGCCAACAACTCGTATTCCGACTGGAATGAAGGGTCGCCAGGTGTGGCATTGAACAACTTGTAATCTTCTGCTGTCAATGCACTGCTAAAGTATGCAATGATTTGCTTTTGCTTGATCAACACGCCTCCCAAACCATATGGAGAAGCGTCTGTTTGCAACAACAGGGTCACTGCATACGGCCGCCAGCGATGAATCTTGCTCAAGCCCACTTTTCCATCCGACAGGTGTAGCAATCCTTTCAGCCACCGGACTGCATTTTCAACCTGCTTGACGAAAATGAGCCCTTTTCTTCTCCGCGTTGTTGCCTTCACAGGCTCTCTATATCCTGTGATAACTGACCACAGGATAGCCAACCATGGTCTCGCGGCAGGTATAGCTGAAGACAACCAGCCTAACACTCCCACTGCATACTGTAGTAGCTGCAGCGGCATCATGCCTCGGGATTGTTCCAGCTGGTCAAACACCTGCAGCAACTTATCTCGCTTGGCGTCCGCCAGCTCCACGTGAAGGTCCAAGCTATCCGGGCCACAGACGCTGAGTTTGAAGCCTATCCACTGCAACTCTTGGCCTCTATGGACCTTCTTCCATGACACTTCCAAGCCCAGACTCAACCAGAGCCCTGTGTAGTAAAGCAAGTGTCTTGTATGCTGCTGTGGGGAACTGGCCACTGAAACAATCAAGGGATCATCAATGTAGCAGTTGATGTCAGTCTCATGGCTTTTGAGCACTGCTTGACCCAGACGCATTGCTGCTGCTGCCACGCGTGACCACAATGGCCCTGTAGCCAGCCCAAACACTACGCAGTTGCAAACGTAGTACCTTGACCAACCCTCCTCGTCATCTTGGCCTTTGATGACCACGTAGCAACGTTCGTCTGCTCGCAACTGCAACATGTTGAATGCGTCTTTGAAGTCTAAGGCCATCAACTCAATGTAACTGTCTGGGAACCCTGCTTGATTATTCGAAACCAATTGCAAGAACCCTGTGGCAACATCCGAAATCCTCGGCAATGTCACCCTCTCACGACATTTGATCATGCCATTGACCCCGGACCTGCGTCCATCGAAGATGAGCCTTGATTTGACTGTGCCATCCTCTTTGGTTTTGACAATGCAGCCAACCTTCGTGAGCCTTGCTGCGCGACCCACCTCTGTTTGAACTTCTTCCCACGAATGACACAGCTGCGCTCGTCCTTTGTCCAACATCTCATCCAAGAGTGGTTGTGCTTTGTCTACCTCCTGAACAAAGCTGCGATAGTTTGTCAGCTCACCCAAGTGATCCTCCAACACTATGCCCTCCACTCTTGAAGCTTCGACAGCAGCTGTATCCTCCATGGTGCTAGGGAAGACTCCAACTTGTTTGATCTCGCTAGCAATGCCTAAGGGGAAGCCCGTGGTCATCCATTCTGATAACACCTCTTTTTCCGGATCATCAGCGGCTGCCAACAAAGCTCGCCACAACTCCACCGGCCATCCCTGCTGACTGGGTTGAACGCCAAACTCTTTGCATAGCCTGATCTTCAACTGATCAATGTGTTGCTCTGAAATGCCAGCCTCAAGCTTCTGTTGCACCTCCTGTACAAGCTCTGCTGTCATCCAGTCGTCCATCACTGCTCTAATCCTAAGCCCCACATTTCTCAGCAACGAAGACCGTGCAACCGCACGCTTGGCAAAGCGCAAACCTCCCCACGCTTCAACGTTTTCTCTCTCTCTTCGTTCAGCGATGGTCTCAATCCGGGTGGGACCTGTTGTCTTTCTCTTCTGTGGCAAAGTCCCCGCCAGTGCAAGTGTATTCTTCCACCTGCCTAGTTTCACATAGCTTCTGGCTTGCATCCATTTGTACCCTTCTTCTGATTCCAGCCACTCAAGCAACGCTCTTGTCCACGCAACTGTGAGGCCACATGGGTATTCTGCAGCAAGTGATGTGCGCCAAACAAACTTGTCCTCAAGATAAGACCAGGTCATCCCCACCAAGCCTCCTTTCAAATGGTAATGCGCTCCGACTTCATGACACAAAGCGCATACCTTCTTCATCCAGCTGCTTGTTGTGAGGATGCCCGTTGCTTTCTGAGTAACAGCTCCATACGGACACTGATGCAGCAATACAAGCTCAGCTCCTGGGATGCGAAAGAGCCTGGCCATACACTTGAGCATCCAAATAAAGGAGTCCCACGGATTCTCAATCGACCAAGTGCTCCCTCTTTCCGTCAGCCTCAAAACCAACAGAATCATCCGAGCCACAATCTTGTTTGCTTCTTCTGCTTCAGGATCGCCCCAGCCTTCTGGTTTGGTGTCTGACCTCAAGACTTTGACGACTCCGTGCTCATCCGACCTTCTTGCACGTGTGTACGTCCGGCATGGAGGTGCCATGTGTCCGTGATCTAGCCTGTCGCACAAATCCAGCCCCTGCTGCAGTCCATCATCTGTCAAAATATCCCAACCCTCAAAACCATCCAAGGGTCGTGACACCCTGACTGCCTCACCACCCAGCTCTTCCATTGTAGCTGAGAAACCTGCATATCCAGCGAAAAATTCACCGAACTGAAAAGGCCTCATCTTCTCGACATCAGCCCTGAATTCACTTTGAGCTCCTTGCAAATTCTGACGTGCATCCGCCTGCGACTCTGTAAAATCTGCCACAGCCGCAAGCTCTTCCTCCTCCTGTCACTTGCCCTTGCCCTTGCCCCGTCCTCTACCTGCGCCCTTTTCACTGGCTTTCGGGCACTGGGAATTCGGATGGGGACCAAGGCAGTACTGACAACGATGAGACCTTCCCTGGGGACACGGCTCTGAACAAGCTCCAACTGCACCCTTGGCGAATGCAAAACAGACTTGACGTCCTTCACGATCCGTCTGAAACTCTCGACCTGCACGTCGCGGATGGGTGTTGTCAGGTTGGCTTGCTTGCGGACCGGCTCCTGCTGTCTTCCTCCATGGGGCGTCTGAGAACTTTTCCGCTCCCGGATCCTTCTGAAGACTCTGAATCCTTGCTTTGTCTCTCTGTCTGCGACGAGCTGCTTTTGATTGTCCTTCACCTGGTGGTCGATGCAAAGCCTGCGAAGTAGCCTCAGAGTACTGCGTATCCTCTGCGTCCTTCTTCGACATATTCTTGCTTGCGCCACCTCTAGCCAAGAATGTCTGCGCTGGCCGAATGACAACTCTGTCCCAATATTCTTGACACCGAGCCGCAAATTGGAAGACTCCAACCCATGGCCTGTTTTGATCGAAGTCCAAATTCATCGGCAGCCTGCCTTCGTTCTTGGCTCTCACCAGCTCTCGTTGAAACCTCTCGAACTGCTCCCCTCTGCACTGATCTTCTGCTTGTAGAATCAGGTGCCAAGCTTCTGGAAATTCATTATTCAGCTCCACAATACGATTGTAATACTCTTCCAATGCAGCAACCGTAACGATGGGTGTTGCTGGTGTCCTTGTGGTAGCATTTGCAGGATGTTTCAACATGAGGAGAACAGTTCTATAGATCTTCCAGCATGCACTCCAAGCCATAAAGGTTGGTGGACCTGGAATCTCCACTGTCTTCCACGTTCCATCCTGCTGCAAAATGAAATTCCTAGCCTTGGCCTGTTTCTGTGTTCTCCTACCGAATGGAGTAAGCACCGAGAAATCAGCGTAGGGAGCTTCAAATCTCTTCAACACTTTTGTGTACATGGCTGTGATTTGTTCAACTGTAGGGTCAGCATCCACCAACGGGTCAGCCCCAACTGCTTCTCTAAAATTCCTATAGGCCTGCTCAACTTCGTTGCCATCCAACAAATCGACTTCCGACTCGTCCAACTGATCCACTGCAGTCGACATCTTCACACGCTTTGTTGGTGAGCTTCCAGACCTAATCGAAGCCGGGGCTGCTGCTCTAGCTGCTGTTGACCCTGTTGCATGGGCTGATGGTTCAGGAAGCAATGGATCAATATCAGGAAGGGCGTAGGCTTGTCTTGTAATGCGCCAGACCAACCCAATCTGAATGATCTCCACAGCTGTAAGAACACGCTCAGCCGTGGTAGCGGTGGCAGGAATTCGCGCACGTTCAAATGCTGGTTGTGGGGTTGCAGCGGGGAGAGAGGCAAACACCCGCATACTATCAACACCACCGAGACAATTTGACATGGCCAGCCATGGGGCCTCATCCAATCCAACCCAGGTCAACACATCATCTATAGTGCGCAAACTTGCCAACTCAACGTCGGTGGGCAACAGGCTTCGTGCCATATCCTAAGCCTGGAAAATCGCCCGGGCCAATCAAGGCCGGTGTCAGCGCTGACACCTTTCGAGTGCCACTGCGATGGCAGCAGCACCACGCCCCAGCACACCCCAAGATCACACCGAAAACCACGGAGACCAGAATCACCAGTTCCAGGTACATGGCAAATGAAATGGGGGAACCGAGGGCTGTCACTCTTGAGCCAAAATGGTACAAGAGTGACAATGAATCCCCAACCACCAAACTACACAGCTCATGTTTCACTGCACCACTGCGTGGTTTCACATATATGGCATTCTTTGACGGTTCACCTCAAATGTAGAACATTCCGACTTTGAGGTGAACCATCCGGTTCTTATGATCCCCCAAAGATCCCGATCGACGTCCGAGCTTCAGCCGGAGCTGGCGGAACGGTGAAAAGCACGCGGAACGGTAAGATGTGGATCGAAAAACCACCGAAGAAGGCCGACGTCCGAACATCCATGTTTCTCTTCTTTTTGCAGCTGAGCTTGCAGCTTGAAGCCTTTGGCTGCAAGATTCACGCTTGAAGCTGTCCGTCATGAGTTTGTAGTTGTTGTTCTCCTGCATCAAAACGGTCCAAACCCCGAGACCCTGGTGGAACCTGAAACATGAAACAGCATGGACTACCAGGGATGTCAAGAGAACATGGTTTTATGGATATAGGTTCCTTCGGATTTAGACTGGCATTGTGCAAAGAGATTGTGCAAAGAGTCTGGTAGAGAGGCACTCTCTTGAATACAGTGGTTTCAGAGTAGATGGCACAACCCCCAAGAAGTCCTTAAAGAAACGGGGTCCATAATTGCACCACCGAACTTGGGTGTAACTTGTGCCATCTACTCTGAAACCACTTGCTTCCTTTCTGGCTAAAAGAAACACAATCCAAAGGGCGCAATACGGGCGGAATGCAACGGTCGCAATACCACCATCGAAGGTCCGGTCGCATGAGTCAGTGCTGAGTCGAACGTGCATGAGTCGCACGAGTCAGAAAGCGGAAAAAAGTGTCTTACATATTTCGACATGAAGAATTGGAAGAGAGACGCCACGGAAGAGAGAATGAGAAATGGAAATGGAAATGGAAAAACAATGAAGAATTGGAATATGTTTCGACTCAAAGAAGTCACCGGAAGCGATGATCTGTCGCCAGGCCGCTGTGCTAGAAAGAACTGATGCGTGTGATTGCAGACCATAAAACAAACAGGCACCAAACCCCAACTACAGAAACCAAGCCAACAGCCACTGAAAACATGCCAAACGTCAAATAGACTGCCAAGTACACTGCCAAAAAGAATTAGCAGCCCTGCAAATTGCTCTGCTATGTCGTGAGACAGCTGGAGCTGTCTCCTTCTCACCAATAGACGGTCTTCCCAGCTAGCCCGCTACGTGTAACAAAGTCCGTAACAACAAATGACCAACAAAGGTTGAAGGACCCTAGTTCGACTATCCCAATAGGTACCATAGGTGACGCGTCCTAGTTCAGGTCACTGGATACCTCTCTTGGTATGTGGAGCGTTGGGAGCAACAATGTGGAAGCCGAAAAAGGAGGCAGCAAACCCCCCCGGCGGAAGTCTGCGAAGTCGGATCCGGTGCCAACGATGTGGGTGAACGATATGCGGTGCGTGCCAGTGGCGGTGCGTTCGTTGCGCCATCCGTCCATCAACCCCCCCTGAAACCCTTTTTGGACTCCTACATGCAGCATGTGTACCATATCTGAATGCTGTAACTGACTGCCACATAAAACATACTTGCGAATAGGACCTACGATTAATCGTCGACGCGTATGAGACAAAGCCATGCCTTTTTGAGGATATAAGAGGCATAAGGCACAAGATTTATACACTGAAAATAACTACGAAATTTTGTGTCTGTGTATATATATTATATATATATATCAATACTTAAAAGCTATCTACTGGACAATGCTTGCCCACATCTGTTATATAAACAGTTCCGGGTTCAACGCTACTGTGAAAAAATAAACTTTGAAAAACATGTTTGTCTGTTTGTCTATCAACCAAATGGTACATGTCTGCCAATGACGACAAAAGGTCTGCCAGTAACCCCTATAAAGCCTATGACAATGACTTAATCCATTGCTGACGATGAAGAAACGCACAACTGCAGTGCTGCAGAAAAAAAAGCAGCTTTTGAACCTCTCCGGAACCGGAAGCCCTGGATTCCTCAGGGAGCATTCGCAGCACCTCCAGGAGCGTTGGATAGCTCTCCGGACTCTGCCCAAAGCGCTGGAACAAGGTCTCGACAGCATTGGGCCAGGTATGGTCCTGATACAAATTGATCCAAGTATCCTCAAGGAATGGTGTTGACCAGAATTTAGTCAAGACCTGTGTTTGGCTTCTCGTTGCTATTTTGATGCAAGTCGCTGGCTCTGGGTTACACTCTTGCGCCACAGCCCAGCCGGTGCAAACATCGAAATAGCAGACCCTTGCAGCAAATCAGTGGCTAATACCGTCATAAAGATTGAGCCTCAAGGTCTTGTTGGCATCAACATCTTCCGCAAACTCGCCCTCATGCAAAGCAGAATCACACATTCTGCCAAGGCCCTTCATTCACCTCATATCTGCCACAGACCATCGACCAGGAAAGCTTTTGGCAAGTCAGCTGATTACAAACACAAAGTAGGCACCGTTTCCTACCGTAATTAGGCCTAGTACTAGAGTCTACCCAAACTACACCCACCTTTGGCTCATTCTGCCCACCCCAACGGACTTCCTCTCACACCCCCGGTCTCATCACCCCAACGAACGGTCCGAACCGTCCGAACCGAACGGTACCGGGGGTCCATTTGGATCGCGAGGTCGGCCAGGCCGATCGCTAACATGGTGTGGATTGGCTGATGCTCCGCGGCGCGAAACCTGGGGGCAACGACCGACCAGTGGGCGAGTGGAAGCAAGCGGGTGGGTGGGCGAAGGCTACATGACAGCTTTTGGAAAGGTGTCATGTTCAATGTGTTTGATGGAGATTAGAATGATAATGATTCATTACCAGATTTATTTGTGCCACTGGTAGATACAAGCGGAATTGGAATGGCTCCCATGTTAGTTTTGTGCTCTTAAAGAAAACACGTGTTCAAAGTGACCCAGAAGACATGAGTGTACCAGTGTAGCGCTGCTACACTAGCCCCACACGGCCTACTGTCAAACCGAGAAAAAAAAACACATGTCTCCACGTCTGCCACAGCGAATCCAATTGATCTCGGTGTTTTCCATAGTTTCAAGCAATGCAACGAACAGTGCCTTCGACCAACACCCATTGAGCTCGCACCTGTCAATGTGAACCAGCATGGAGTCTCTCAAGCTCATGTAGCTGTCAGCAGGCAACCTGGATAGTTTACTGATCATGAGTGTGGCAAGAAATCAACATCCCGAGACTCTCACAAATCTTGACAATACAACATAATATATAATGTATACAAATTTACGTTTACTTACATACACAACATAGCTACATTGATTTAAAAAACAATGAAAAAACATTAACAACAGCAAACAATCATCATGTTATACTATACATTTACATATGAGCTTCAACATACACACTAGTATAATCACATATAATCTAGAATAACTTCTAGTATACATTTACATATTATGAGCAACATACATACTACACCAAAAGGCATCTATTCTATACATGTATACATGTTAAATGACAGCAATGCCAAGCACTGAGCAACGCCAAGCAGCTCATAAAAATCAAACTGCACTTTGGTGCGCATCGTTTGTGCGGCCTCAGGGCCGAGGAACGTGAGAACGTGAGAAGGTTTGGAGAGGAGTCAAGCGGGAGCTAGCAGACCAAAGGCCCAGGCGGGTGGATGCTTCTGGGGTCAATGCATTTCATGATGTTGAGGAATAACAAGGCAGTTCTTCTGGAACACTGTAGCACTATATGTAGCAGTATGTACCAGCCTTCTTGGAGGTCGGTAGTTGCCAAATGCATGATGTCGAGCTCTGCTAAACAAACAGCAAACACAAGTATGAATATGGTGCTGGCATGGATTCTGGTGGTGGGCACTCGCAAGAAGGAGATACTCACCCTTGACAACCGGGAACCTGTCTTCACGTGCCAGCCAAGAGATGCTTCATTCCTCCCGGTCACCCCAAACCCCCCCCCCAGCCTAACGAGCCTAACGACCGGGTGCTGCCAAGGATCAAAAAATCGAAATTGCATTGGCGCATCTGCCTGGCTCAGGAGCGTATCAGACACTTGCCACGCTGCCGGAGTCTGCTGAAACTTCGTGAGCCAGTCATCGGCTTGCCTCACCGCTCCGGACCCCCACTGGATGGCAGCTCTCCCCGGGAATTGGAACCGCCGATTTTTGGAACAGAAGTTCCACCGCGCACAGTTCGACCTGTAGTTTGGGAGTTGTTTGTTTCTTTTTTCTGGCCGACCGATGAGATCCCTCAAGATCCCTTGGCGGGCCGCCGGGTATTCACTAGGAGATCTACATAGAAAAGCCCCAGAAACTACCAACAGGGGGTGAACTCCATCGGTGTGATCGTCGGAGACTAACTTGGTTTATCGAAGATCAACTCGTCCTAGTTCCTATCACCAGCAAGCAATTGACCTGGATTCTGATCAACATGAGATGCCCAAAACCTTCGGGCCGCCCTTGGTCCCAGTGCGATTCTAGTCTCCCACTGCCAGCCCCCTCGCTTTCTTCTCAGATGAAAACGCACTGACAATGATGATGACCGAGAGTAGGAGAGAGCATCCCGTGTGATTTCACCCTAAGAGCTTCAGCACTGCATCACATGTGGCACAGCACCACATCGCATGAACACACCAACTGGAGTGTCCAGCCCATTCAGTTGGAATCCAATCGATGGCTTGGGATGGGTGGAAGCCCCCGTCTTTTCATCCAAACATATCCAAACCATGTGTGTTGGAGAGAAAACCTGTTCTTCTTTCTGCCACACATCCAACCAAAACAATGGTCATCCAAGCAGCTTCTTTGTTTGCGGGTCACTTGTGGCATAGAGTGCCTGTAACGCATTGACGACTTGCTCCATTGCCGGCCACGCAAAGGCTAATTTGTGGCAAAGCTCTAAGGTGGCAGGAAGCGCAAAAGTTGATACTTGCTTGGAGGAATGGGGCCGTCATGAGTACCGATGAGAGCGATTCCAGTTCTTCTTGGCACGTCACTGCTAGCATAGCTGCTAGCATGGATCATTCTACTACTGTCTTTTTGTGTGTCTTTTTGCTGGCCTTAGAGACCTTCCCAGGTCGGAAGGCAAAAGAAAAGCTGAACACCAAAAACCATGGACATCAGTGAAGACTCTCAAGGCAGATCAATCGAACGAGGCTGAGCGTAAGAAACACTGAATGAGCCAAATGAGCTGGGAGAAGCTTAAGAATCTCAGGTTATTCAACGTGTATGTGCATGCAGCTGTTCTTTTGACCCCAACAGAACGCAACAACCAAGGACAGAAGTGATGTGGAGGGCAAACAAATTCATGTCGATCTCAATGGGGAGACCCCCCTTTCTCGCCGGCTGATTCACCGGGTAGAGGTCGATGTTCTGAACCTTCCACGGGGCTCCCTAGGCCGCCTAGGCTCCATACATAGTCATAGATCATACCCAAACACGACTAATGGGACTGCCACATATACCTACATTGACCCCCAAAACCACCCCAACTGATCGGCATAGATGGCAGTCCCATGGAGTGTCTGATTACACATGCATGTTTCAGCTTCGTGTTTCAGGCCAGGTACAGTGCATGCTGCATTTATACCTTCCTCAAGACTCTTGGCTCAAACCCAATTTAGACCACGTTCTTTGCCCATCTCTATCTAAACCACTTGGGATTGGAGCCAAGTGCCATGTCCCTCCCCACAGGTGAACTGGCAGCACTGTCTGGCGGGGGGCCACTCCACCGGTGCCACCGGTACCATGAACACGTGGCCAGTCACCGGTCGTCCCGGTCCAAGCAGCGATGAAACGCTCGTGGCGAAACGGCCACGCGGCCCCACGACGTGGGCGAAACAGCAACTGGGTCATTTTTTCAGGATTTAGGGCCATCAGGTAATGTTGCACTGACAAGAACTGGTAGACCACCCTGCAACAAGAACCAAACACCTTGTTTGTTAACTTCTTTGTTTGTTGACTTATTTGTGTGTTTGTTAACTTTGTTTGTTTGTTTGTTAACTTCTTCAACGCACCCAATCAACCACCTCCTTCGCATGCTCCGGTGCTCTGCGCTCCACCCCGATCAGAGGCACCAAAGCCGCTGCGAAACACGAAGATGCAGACCTGTGATGTGTTCAAAAAGAAAGTCCAAGCTGTTTTGTTCAAGTCACCCACAAAACAAGTCACATGGATGAATGCCAGGTTTGCTTCAAGCTGTTCCTGAAAGCAACAAAAATGGGGTCATTGAGGGTCAAATGTCAGCACCATCCAAAATATAAAGTTTGACACCTGGAAGCCTGTTCAATCTCTTCTCATCTTCGCGCAATGGATGACCCTGGTCATCTTCCATCCTTGTCCAACTCTTCCAAAAACCTGATACCACAGGCTAGCTGCCACTTGAATTCTGTAAACACTAAAGAACAACTCCTCACTCTTGCTGCTCCAAAACACATGAGTCACATGAGGACATCGGCCAGCTAGCGGCTCCTCTTATCACAAGAATTTCATCCAGACGAATGGGCCCGCGCATTTCACCTGGTTCCACTCGATGTTTCACAAGGTTTCACCCGGCCATGGGGTTTGACCACATGTCACATGAATGGCAGGATGACTAGATGTGGAGAACTTCCAGGTGGCGTACAAAGAAGGGTGCAAAAAAGGCCGCCACTCGAGCCATGGGGTCTAAATAGCCTTGGCCATGGAACACCGGGCTTCTCCTTACACCATGGAACTCCGTTGTTGTTCTTCGACGCGGCGCTCATCTACCAACTTACTCGTTCTATCACATCCATCTCCAGGCCGGTGCCTCTTCGCCATAGTAGCACCCTCAGCGAAAGCGGAAGCACATGCAAACTCCCAAATATTTGAAAGTAGCAGAGGTTCCAAGGGTTTCGAACATGCTGCAAGATTGGTTGCTGCAAGTTTGGTTGGGTAGGTGGCAGCCAGGTGCATCACCGTGGCAGCCAGGTGCTTTCACTCCTAAAGACGACCACAGCACCGAATTCTCGCTCACATTCAAGCTTGGAGCCAATACATCATACGTGTTGTTGAAAGATCACTACATCAAAGCTGAGACCACAAGGACACAGCACTGCCAACAATTGTAGGGTTTAATGCAACTCCCTGAAAGCATGATTAAACTAAATGAACCTGCTGATTTCCAGGCTTTCTTCTTGCGCGAGTGGTGTAGGTATATGACACGGTTGATTGTCACTCCGATCTCGACTAAAAGGAGACAATATGAACAATCTACACGCAATCTCATCATGGCTCATGTTGGAGTACCTGGCCTATCTCAGACCAGTCGTTTTGGATAAGTGCCCGGCGGAAGATAGAACAGCAGGTTCTGCTGTTGGGGCGACGGACACAATGATCAATGATCGATTATGAATGTGAGTTTAGAACGTTTGGGCCTCATGGTTGCATGAACATGCTTGCAGTGTAAAGTTGGTTAGTTTGATTGTTGCAGGTGATCTGAGATCTGAATCTGAATCGCTGACAATGCGCATGATGCTTGCTATGCAACCAACTGGAGCCCAAAGACCAAGCACTTAAGGTAGCAAAAGCCCTAAAGCCCGCGTCGCTTGGCTTGGAGGTTGGGGGACTCCTGCTTTCCAGCCCATTCCAGCCCAACTCAAAGGTTGAATACTCTGGTTACTCTGGTTGAACTTCCAACAAAAGCAAAAGACCAGTCCAGATGCCAAAATGGCAGTATGGTTTTCATCTGTGTTCACCCTACTCTTGGATTTCTCCCAAACTCGATCTCAGAAGCTCAATTCAGCTTACATTGTTGTGTCCTATGTTTCAGCAAGTCATGGGTTGAATCTTTGATGCCTGCTGGTGGATGCAACCGAGTAACCCCAGAACCCAAACGCTGCTGCCCAACCGGCTCTCTCCACCGGCTTTTCCACGGGTCGGTCACGTGGCCAACCCAAATTGCGCGGGTGCTGAACGAGAAGGAACCAAGTATTCAGCACCGAGACAGGGTGAGAGTGTTACAGTGCCTGGAACTCACATAGAAACGGATCAAGCGTGGCGTGCCCACCGCGGTGTTTGGTCTTCGGAATTGCACCCAATGCCCTTCCATCTCCTTCCCCATGCCATCTAGCGCGTTTCGAACATCCGACGCGCCAGCCGCGTGGTTCATGTGAGTTCCAGGGAGTGGTTCCCGTGGATCCCAAACATCCATTCCTTTGGGGATCCATTCCTTTTGTACAGTGCACCAGAGCCGCCTGGAGGTCGAGGTCTACGTCCGGAGCCGTCTTCCATCCGTTTTCAGACGGGGAGGCCGCGGGCGGGTCTCCTACGGCGGGTCGACCGGCCCGAATGGGAACAGATGAGACCTAGAGAGTAGAAGCCTTCATGTGAACACATATATTATATTACATGTGACATATATATATATATACAGCATATACAGAGAGAACCCTTCTTGCGGAATTTGTAGGGACCTATATATATGTGACTGTAAATTCTATTATATTATTATATTGTATTACGACTATATTGCATAGTATACAGTATAGACATATATATAGACCTATAGACTAGATCTGTTGTCATCCACAGCAGCATGATCCTGCGACCAAGCCGCTCACAGATGCTCGCGGGTCAGCCAGTGTCTGGGAGAAAGTGGTTCTGCGAGCACAAAACGACTGGCCGGGAAGCCACATGACATGTCTTGCGCCTAAATAGGGTTTTGGTGTGTAATTAGTCAGTAGGCAGACACCCGAAAGACTCGGGGTTCCCAAAATACACACCCAAAGATCAACCGATCCATTCCACAGTAGGCCGGGAAGCCTTCATGCCCTGCAAGGTCCGCAGGTTCGACTTGCAAAAATGACAACATGGATATACATGGAACACCAGACGTCTATGGACCTCGCACAACAAGAGTTGCGAGAAGGACGGGTAGTCTGTAGGCACAAAAGGATCCAGTGGCACAAACAAATGGTGCAAAAGCTTTTCCCATCGAGGAGATACAGTAGGCTGCTGGACTATGTTTGGAGCAAATGATGAGCTTCATCCTATCAAACATTATCGAACCCTCTATCCCACGTGTCAAAACTCATGTCAAACAAGTGTCAAAAAAACGACTCCAGGTAACCCAACAAGACCCTTTGGACGAAGAAGAAACCATCTGGGATCCATCTGGGATAGACATGGATTTAATACATGACATTGCACCAAAGTTCCAGTCTTAAACCCTCGTTTGGCATTATAAGCTCCAGTCTATACTAGTATACTCCTACTATATACTTTCAAAGCATCAAGCAGCTAGCCAGTCTGAAGATGTCTCAGCATGAAATAAATGAAATCTCTCCCTGCCTCGACGTGCAGCGGCGACAGAGGGGCGGGGTAGGAGAGCATTGTAAAGCCCTGAGAGCATGATGCATCCGTGAGAAAGCCGCGGAGCGACAGCCGTCCCCCATCGCGAGTTCTGACCAAAAAACGGCCCACTCAGGGTTGTCGAAGTTCACGCAGGTGGGCAACAGATCGAGTGGGGGTTCCGCCACCCCAAAGCTCGGTGCGGCCATCCCAAGTAAGAGAGAGAGAGAGAGACAAAGAGAGTCATTCGACTCCAAGTACACGCAGACTTTTTATCCTGATGTACGGTTCGTTTCAATGGGTTGCCCACATGCCATGCCCACTCTGCCACTCAACCCATCGACTTCGCACTCCCTCCACACCGTAGCACTCCCGCTCCGCTTCCGCCTCCAGTGTGCGGCCGAAGACGGCCATCGGCCGCCCATCATCCGCAAACTCGGCCGGAAGGGCGCAGGCGGGGTTGCTGCGGAACCGAGAAACAGTCACACAGTCAGTCACACATTTATCTTTCAGAATATATGGAACATATGGAGGAAACAACAACTAAGCCAAACCTGGCATGGAAGGATTGGCCCGGCGGGCGCCGTGACCAAGTCGATCTCCTGTTCCAGTGCTTTGGGTATTGGCCCGAGTCGTCTGCACCGGTGGATGTACAAGACGTCTTGAGAGCAACACAGATGTCTGAGACCACGCCATGTTTGCCGGAACAACCAGTCATCCTTTTCGGGCCATGTATACTAGGACCCACAGGAGTTGGGTGGTTCAGGGTGGTTAATGGACACCCCGAATCACCTCTTTTCGGGGCTATCAATAGACACCCCTGGCCCGGGTGTCCTGGTATAACCATTTAATCTTGGAATGATGGGCGAGGAAGGTTCTTTTTCCTTGGGAGATGGAAAGACGTCCACGACCTTCAAGGAGCCTGAGTTGGGATGGTTCGTTAGGACGGAGTCTATAATATATATATATATAGTTAGGACGGAGTCTATAATATATATATATATATGTCATTATTGTATGTCTATATTATATATATATTATAACTATATTGATTCTACACAGTTCTACCACTCTGCAGAGATGCTGATGGAGATGTTTCGTCAATGTTCTGCAGGGAAATGCAGCTACAATCAGCTACATACTCCATGTGTTAACCCTTCATCAGAGTGCTGAGAGTGGAGAGGCAAGCTAACCTCCTTACTTCGAAGGCAAAAGGCCTGAAGAGGAGGTTAAGAAGGTCCAAGCATTGAACGTCACTCAATCTTGCTCCCACTTTGAGAATCTGAGTTAAAGCAAAACCACCCTTTATTTGTCATTTTCCTATAGCGATGAAGCCTACTGTTGAATCCAATCAGGAAAAATAGAAACCGGAAGCCTGACTCGCAGGTACGTTTTAAAAATCTAAGGTCTTAACATCTGCGGAGATTCGCATCCGTTGCAAAGACCAACTGGAAAAAAGATTGAAAAACATCAATCCTTCAAAATGACCTTTCAGATCCCAGGATGAGGTCATATGAGGTCACTGGAGACTCAGACTTCGGAAGCTCGGAAGCTACGTGTTGATCGACTAGAAATCTCCCATGGTAACCCCGAACTACACAACAGCCAACCTGACGAGTGAAGAGGCCCGCGGGACACTCGAACACCTTGTGATGCGAAATGTGTTGGACATTTTTTCCCGCTTGTCACACTTCGAGTAGATACAGCTTCCTTTTGCCAGATTTGCTCTACTCCTCATCCTCGTCGCGTGCCTCGTCCTCCTCACTCCTCGCCCCACTCCAAACCAGAATTGAACAGTATCGGGACTTATATCGGGATATTGATATCCATTTGATTAATGGCAAGACCTGCACCAACCAATGGGGTTTGGCGCTTGGTCCAACCTCCCTTTTGACGCTTTGTCGGAAATCTGGAGTCTTCCACACTAAACCTTCTTCACCGAGTGGCAAACCACTGTCAAACTCCCAAGCCACTTACCTGGATACTCAACTTTTCCACCACCTCTTGTTGAGTGGGGACACTCCCATGATGCCCCCAATCCCCAGGTTTTGCAGGCTCAGGGTGCTCACCGTTTCGGAAACGCAGATTCATCCTCCCACAGGTCACAACCGTCGTCCGTCCCCGTCGAGCCGTCCAGGCACTGCTGGCAGCTGCAGCTGAGAGCGACCCATAGGACTTGAGATCTGTCGGCTCATGCTCATGGAGTTGGAGAACCTCGTCGATCGGAGCGAGCTTCAATCGATCGACCCGGGTCGAGACTGATCTGGAACTCGAGACTTGGGGAGCTGGAAATCCGAGCTGGAGCTCATGAAATCCATAGAGCGAGGAAAAAAAGGTCAACGGCATGACCCCCTGCGTTGTGTGGCATGGTTTGGAGTTTCTGCTGATGTAACGGCGTTTTTTGTGAGCAACAACAGTTATGATTCATGGCGTTCTGCGTATTGGAGGGGTGTGGGGTCGGGAAGTTGGGTGGGGACTAAAGACCATGACGTTCGTAGGATCATCAGCGTCGTCTGAGCCGGCCAGTGAAAGTGGGACACTTGTGCATCAGAGCTTTAATTTGTGCCTTAGAAGCTGGGTATGCTGTTGTGGCGAAAACACCGGGGGGGAAAAAAGGAACACGTGTGGACTCTCTCAGTAGATCCGACCCCTCGAAAACCATCTGCAACTGCAAATCCCAAGACACGCATCTTCTCCCGCAAGACACGCATGTTTATGAATCAAGAGCACAGTGGTAGTGATAGTGGCTTGTCAGCAATTTCTGTGGCAACTAACTCAAAATTGCTGGAACATTTGCTGAACTATGCAACTGAGTAACTGATCATTATACAACGAATATCTTGGCTCAATTCCCGGGAGTGATGGCTCCTTTAGTTGCAAAAACAAGATCTTCGGGATCCATCGGACACTTCCTACTACTCACGTCCGTGAAGAGAACGCGGATCACTTCCAGGTGGCGGCAAACCCCTTAACGTGTGCGCCCAACGCCCCACATCACAGCCTCCTACTGAGTGGAGTGGAATGAGTCATGGAGTGAGTTTTGCAATTCATGAGATTCCCACTGTCCCTACCGTCCCTAGCGAAACATAGCGAAACCATGGCGAAACCGAAGTCACGCCAAGGCAGTTCGGGCCATTTCCACAGCGGACTCCACGGCGGATCCACGGCGCTCCACGCGCCAAGAGGCTTCACGATGCTCCGGCTTGGCCGAGACGAGGTCGGGGCGCCGCCCCCGCTGGCGCCTTGGTCATCGATGAAAGGGGTCGAGCGCCAGGTGTCAGGGATCCTGGTTGGAGGGAGTTGTTTTGCATTGGACTGGGGAGTTTTTGGAAGAGCAGGGTCCTCAGGGTCGGGTCCTGAAAATGACTCCTGGCCGATCCAAAACACACATGTTGGAGGCTGTTTCGGGGTGAAGTTCTCTTCACGTCTGAGCCTGTCGTCTCTATATGTGTGGCCCACGTCTCTGAACAGCGTTGTCTGAGTGTTCTGCATGGAATAAAAGCACAACTAACAACCACCAAGAGAGGTTGAGAGACCTGAACTAGGACCCTGTAGTAGTACATATGGGATAGGCGACCAAGGGCTGTTCAACCTCTCTGGGCAGCTCAGCACTCAAGGAATTGATTCGACATGTTTTGGACCGAGTTTTGGAGCCACAAAACATGGAGAACTCCCAGTAGTCACGAGACACACACTTTCGAACCCATGGTTTTTCAGTGGAATTCCTTAACTTGGGACCTGGGATCCACCCTCTTCAGAACGCCTCTCTTTGCAAACAAATAGGGCCTAAATAGGGGACAACAAAAAGACTGTTTCCCATCAGTCGCAGGCGTTCTCGCGTTTTGCAACTGCGGGGGAAGCACCAGTTCCGAGTACAGCAGCCCTGTTGGACGCGTCCGGAGACCGGTTTGGTCCATTCTTCGAGCGACAGGAGTCCATCGACCTGCGCCGAGGAGACGCCGCGCCGCCTGCGGCCGGCCGCACGGCCACCGAGAACTGGCAGCCCGGTGCTGTGGTTCTTGGGGTTCCAAAGGATGTCCGGTCCCGGTGCCTTGTCCTTTTTGGAAGAAAGGATGGATGGGGTTTTGGTGGAGAACCCCTGCGCATCGGATTCGGGTGTCCTTTTTGGGCGGACAGCGCATCTGAAAAAACAAGATGGAACCCACGAACCCGAATGGAAACACGTTCGAAAAACTACATATGTCCAAATGACACTCTTGTAGGACACTCTTGTGGGTCACTCTTCTGGGACACTCTTGTAGGACACTCTTGTAGGAAACTC